TCTCTTTCATGCCTTCCGTGAGCAGTGGGCCACTAAGTTTATTGAAGGCTTTTCCACCCTCCACGAGCCCAGGCATGGCAGCAAATAAAAAATAGTGAGCCCCAGGAGTTTGGGCAGTATATGAGTAGCTCCCCACAGGATAGTGCCATGAGAAGTCAGAAGGCCAGCTTTCTTCCATCCAGACACTTCCTTCCCTGCAAATCCCCAACCACTGCTACTAAAAAAGCAGTTTGAGCTTTGGCTGACCAGGAGCCACTGTCCCTCCCCCACCCATTACACCCATGAAGGATTTTGAGCCTAGAAGTTCCTGAATGGCCATTTACCTCTGGCAGATGCGCACTCCATGCTGAGGTCTCCACAGAGAGTGGGACCCACCTCTCTTCCCTTGAAGCCTGTGGTGGAACAGGGATGCACAGTTTGAGAAATTCCTGCTCCCTGACATTTCATGGTGTCACACACCAGCAGCTCAGATAAGCAAGCCGGTCCTGGTGCCCTCCGGACACAAAACAGGGGACACAGGGGAGAAGTCTGGGAGCTGGACATGGGTGGCAATGAAGCCCACTTGGACATTTATGACACAAGAGTATGGTGGAGTGCTGAGGAAGGGGTGGGGAGCATGCCATCGCCACACAAGACCACCATATTGGATAAGGGTGTGGCATTTGGAGAGAAATAGTTCAGCCCCTGGTTTCATAGCAACCAAACACGCCTTGCACTCAGGCGTGCTGGCTGACTGGATGCTGTGGCTTCTCCCTTCCACTCATTTCAATGGGGAGAGCAGTTTAAGCTAAGAATTTCATGAGTGGCCACTTCTCTCTGGTGGTGCATGCTCCTGGTTGAGGTCACCACAGATAGAGGGTCCCACAGGTCTTCCTTTGAGGACTTGTAGTGGTACAGGGGAGCACAATCAGGAAACTTCCTCCCCACTGGCGTTTGGAGAAGATGAACAATAGTGAGTCAGACACACAGATCGGGGGCAGGGGTTTGAGAGCTGGATTTGGGTGGTGAGGGAACACACATGAATTGAACTGACAGGAGTGTGCTGTGGGGGTCCATGGGTGGCAATTGAGAGCGCCCACCCTTCCACACAGAAAAATTGCACTACTGGATGAGAGCAGAAAGATCCCAGCCTGGGGCTTTAGCACTCAAGTGTTTAGGCCCCTCCCCCATGAACAGCTTTCTCAGTTTGGAGAGCTTGTCCTGATCTTCCTACTGCAGCTCTCCCTTGTGGCTGGAAAAGCAACTTCTGAGCCCTGTAGAAGCTTTGCAAAGCCTTTCGGGTTCCTGCAACCTAGCCCAAACTGCCTTGCTCCTTCCTCTCATCTCAGTGGTGGTAGAGCTCAAGCAACCCCCTGGGAGCTACAGGGTCCCTCCTAAATCTTGGGGCGCTCAAATACTCCACCTGGGGAAGCAGAGCCTATCATAGGCACAAAAGAACATCTAAGCAGCTGGCTCTTTCACACAAACATCAACCAATGACAGAGAAAACAACTGTGTAGCTCATCATAGTATCTTCCAACTCATGTAAACAGGGTGTAGATGATTCATACTCACAAGTACCTCCTGCCATCTCAGAGATTAAGTTGGGGAACCTAACACAATTCACATTGTTGAGAAGAGGTGAAGACAACATGACAGAGGCAACTCAATAGGACCATCAATCCTGCTTAAACACCCCATAGGCAACCCAGGACCAGCACTAGCTTGGTCAGGGATAGATCTTTGGGAACCCAGGGACAGGCCCACAAGCCAGGCCTAGTATCTCTAGGACTTGATCTAGAGGCTAGATGAGAAGGAATCAGTGAAAGAACTCAAGAATTATGAAAAATCAGAGGTACAGGACACCCCCAAAAGGAAATAACAACTCTTTACCAGTGGATACCAACCAAAATGAAAGTATTGAAATGACAGGTAAAGAATTCCAAATATGGATTATAAGTAAGCCCAACAAAATACAAGAGAAAATAAAAAATCAACACAAAGATGCAACAAAAACAATATAGGAAATGAATGAAAAATTCACTAAAGAAATTGAATTATTTTTAAAAAATCAAATAGAACTTCTGGAAATGAAAAATTCATTCAAGGAAATACAAAACACAGTGGAAAGCTTAAAGAATAGACTAGACAAGGCAGAAGAAAGAATCTCAGAGCTTGAAGACAACACAAATTCAAATCAAACAAGTCAGTCAAAGATAAAGAACAGAGACATAAGAGGAATGAACAAAGCCTACAAGAAATATGAGATTATTTAAAGAGGCCTAACATAAGTATCATAGGCATCCCTGAGAGTGTAGAAGAAAATACACAAGGGTTGAAAACTTATTTCAGGGAGTAATTGAGGAAAACTTCCCTAGTCTTGCTAGAAATTTAGATATCCAGGTAGAAGAAGCTCAATGAACACCTGGGAGATTCGTTGCAAAGGGGCAATCACCATGACACATACCCATCATACTGGCCAAAGTTAACATAAAGGGGGAACTCCTGTGAGCTGCAAGGCAAAAACATCAGGAAATTTATAAAGGAAAATCCATCAGACTAACTGAAGACTTCTTAACTGAAACCTTACAAGCCAGAAGGCATTGGAGCCCCACCCTCAGTCTTCTTAAGCAGAATAATGGACAGCCTAGAATTGTGTATCCTGCAAAACTGAGTTTTTTATATGAAGGAGAAATAAAGACTTTTTCAGACAAGCAAAAACGGAATGAATTTGTCAAGACCAGACCTGCCCCACAGGAAGTACTCAGATCTGCATTATACATTGACCAGCACAATAGTCACCCACCAGTATAAAATCAATCAAAAGTGAAAGCTCACAGCCCATATAAAATAATGGCTCAAGAGGTAAAGCAAAGCAATAAGATTCTACCCAAGCTATGAACAGAAAAGTATACCACTTATTAATTCTTTCAATAATGTGAACAGCTTGAATTCCCCACCCAAGAGACATAGGCTGGCTGAATAGATTTTAAAAAATACAAGCCAAATATCTGCTGTCTCCAGGAAACACATGACTCCACAAGGACTCATTCAGACTCAAGGTGAAGGGATGGAAAAAATATTTCATGCAAATGAAAATCCAAAGAAAGCTGGTGTAGCCATTCTCATATCAGATAACATAGACTTCAAATCAATAATTGTAAAGAAAGACAAAGATGGTCATTATATAATGGTAAGGAAAGGAATTTAACAAGAAGACATAACAATCCTAAATATTTATGAACCTAACACAGGTATGCCCAGATTCGCAAAACAAACACTACTAGATCTGAGCAAAGTGATAAACAACATCCAGTGACTTGAACACCACACTGACAGAACTTCAGAGATCTTCTAAGCAGAAAATAAAGAAACACTGGACTTAAACAGGACTCTAGAGCAAATAGGCCTAACAGATATTTACAGAACATTCTATCCAAAAACTACTGAATATACATTCTTCCCATCAGCACATGGAACATTCTCTAAGATTGATCACATCTTAGGCCACAAATAATGCCTCAATAAATTCAAAAAATAGAAATTATATTGTATATCTTCTCAGACCACAGTGGCATAAAATTAGAAATAAACTCCAACAGAAACACTAGACTTCTACACAAAGTCATGGAAATTAAACAACCTACTGCTGAATGATTATTGGGTCAAGGAGAAAATTAAGATGGAAATCAAAAGATTCCTCAAACTAAAGGACAAAGGGGACAAGTTATCAAAATCTCTGGAATTCAGCAAAAGCAGTACTACAGGGAAAATACATAGCCTTAAATGCCTACATCAAAAAGTCAGAAAGATCACAAATCAACATCTAATGAATCATCTCAAGCAACTAGAAAAGGAAGAGCAAACCAAACCCAAACCAAGCAGAAAAAAAGACATAACTAAGGTCAGAGCAGAACTAAACGAAATCAAAAACAAAAAATGATACAGAAGATTAATGAAACAAAAAGCTTGTTCTTTGAAAAGATTAATAAAATTACTAGGTCTTCTGCTAGATTAACCAGAAGTAGAAAGGAAAGGACTCAAATAATCTCAGTCAGAAATGAAAATGGAGGTATTACAACTGATATCACAGAAATACAAAATATCATCTGTGAATACCATAAAAATCTCTATACACATAAACTTGAAAACATTGAGGAAATGGACAAATTTCTGGAAACACACAACCTCCCAAGGCTCAATCAGGAAGAAATAGAAATGAATGGAATAATAATGAGCAATGAAATTGAAGCAGCAAGAAAAAATCTTCCAACAAAAAAAGTCTGAGACCAGATGGTTTCACAGCTGAATTTTATCAGACCTACAAAGAAGTATTGGTATCCATATTGCAGAAATGATTCTATAACATTGAGAAGGTAGGAATCCTCCCCAACCCATTCTATGAAGCCACATTGATACGAAAGCCAGGAAAAGACACAACAAAAAAATAAAACTATAGACCAATATCCCTTATGAATATAGACGCAAAATTTCCCAGTAAAATTCTATCAAACTGAATTCAACAGCACATGAAAAAAATAATCCACTACAACCATGAGGACTTCATTCCAGGGATGGAAGTATGATAGTTCAACATACATAAATCCATAAATGTGATTCACCACATAAACAGAAAAACAAAGATCTTATGATCATCTCAATAGATGCAGAGAAAGCATTCAAGAAAATTCAGAACCCTTTTATGCTAAAAACTCTTAACAAAATAGGCATAGATGGAACATATCTCAAAATTACAAAAGCTGTATATGACAGACCCACAGCCAACATCATATTGAATGGGAAAAAGGTGAAAGCATTCCCATGATGGGGATGCAATGGAAATTAGGGCAAGGCCAGAATCAGGCAATTAACACAAAGAGACATCCAGCGGTCAGTATGCAATACTGAGCAGATCCTGGGACCAGGTGCCATTCAAAGGAATTCACCTACATGAATTCCCACAAAGAGGAAGGAGGAATGAGGTTGCTGTCTCCACTTTACCTGGGAGGAAACAGGCACAAAGAGGCTAACGACATGCCCAGGTCTGCACAGCCAGAAAGCAATGGGGTCAGGACCGGAGCCCAGGTACTCACTCTGCAGGGTCACACTCTGCTCAAGTCCCTCATCACAGAAATGCAAATTGAAACAGGAAGACAGCACTTTTCACCTTTAAGCTCAGCAAAAATTTCCAGTGAGGGACAGAGGTTAGAATGGTGCTGCCACGGTGAAGAGGAAGCTGTCAGGGTTTAGTGACATGGAGCAGCCACGTGTCCCAGGACTCGGCAAGGCCACCCCAGCACCTACTGCCTGGCGGATGCCTCCCACGGCTGCACAGAGACGGCGGGAAGCTGCTGGTCACAGTGTCGTTTGCTGTAGAGAATCACTGGAGGAGACACAGAGATTCATTCACGGATGGAGAAGACAGAAGAGGAACACAGGACGGGCTGGGCCCTGAGCACCATGGGGTCACTATCTGTTCTGTCAATTTTGCATCTGCCTCAACATTCTCATGATGAAAAGTGCTTTTATGACGTCGAATGGGAAAGGAGAGGGATTCAGAGTGCTCCGAGACTGGCGACAGTAGCACTCACACAGCCAGGATAACGCAAACCCCACATCATGATCTGACCCATGTTGCAAACAGCCGCCTTGGGAAGATGAGGGAGAGAGGCGGGATCGTGTGGAGTGGGCAGCAAGCCACATGCCGTCCTTCAGGTGGCAGTTCACCTTACTAGACGATGCTCGAAAGGAAGAGGTCGGGTGCTGGCTGTGACGTGTGGTGAGAAATGGCAGTGGGACGACCAAGACTGCTGGGCTTGGGACCAAGCCTGAATGACCGGCTGCCTCATGCGGCCACTGCCACCACCAGGAGCCTGCACTGGGGAGCCGGCTGGGTCTCTACACTACCAGGCACGTCAGGAAATGCCCTCCAGCCCTTGCGGTTTCAGACACCGGATGGACAGGCTTGTTTTAGGGATCACAGGCTGGTGAGCCAAGCAGCACCGAACAGCCACAAGAGGAAGGCGATAGCGCAGGAGGGAGGGAGGGAGCAGCCACTGGCTGAGCTGCCTCCTCCCAGACCCTTCCTCGGCCCTTCTGCCTCTGCCACCACTGAGGAAGGGCTCCTGGCAGAGAAGGCCAGACGGCGTGGAGCCAGCCTGAGCCAGCGTGGTGGGCAGACCCCTGTGCCCCCTCTGCCCGGCGCCATCTGCTCTGTCAGCGGCTGTGGGCCGGACCAGAGGTCATCCTTGGGGCAGGACAGACTCATCGAGCTGTGCTTCCACTGTGGACTCTGGTTCCTCCCTGAGTCACAGTTGCCCTTGTGACATCATGGCTATCTCCCTCTACTTCTCCACCCCTCCTGCCCCTGCCAGGGCAAGGGGAGCAGCAACGAGAGGGCGTGTGAACACCTGAACCACTGCCCCAAACATGGGCTGTCTATGTTGTGTAAGACTCAGGCAGACAGTCTCCCCCTGGGGTGGGGAGGGGTTCTGTGGCAGAGGGAAGGAAGCACTAGATGACTTCATAGGACCCAGGCAAAAAATGGGGAGGCAGGGCGGTGGGGACTTTGCACAGAAGCTGGTCCTCACCATGATCCCCACCCCACATTCTTATTGCAGAAGTGTGGCCCAGACTTAGAACTACTGGAATTAGAGAGGCAGCGGAAGGTAGGTGGGCCAGGAGTGCGAGAGAACCGCCGACCACTGACCCCCCAATCCCTGGGGTCCTGGAAGTGGAGGCCTCATCTGCGGTCCCTCGGCGGTTGGTGCAGCTCTCCTGCACCCTAAATCCCCTTGTGTCGTGGGTGAACTGTGTTAAGCAGGAGATAGACGGGACGGGGAGGACACAGCCTGTGACAGGCCGTGGGGGGGCTCCCGGGGTGGGAAATGCAAAGGCAGGCGAGGGCCGGCCCGGCGAGGCGCAGAAGGACATGCAGGGCCTGAGAGGTAGCAGTGGACGTCAATAGGAGGGAGGGGAGGGGAGACCCCAGAGGGCTGTGGCCCTTACCGAGGCAGCAGGAGGTGGCCTTGTGGGCTCCAATTTGGACCAAGACGCAGGCCATAAATGCCAGCTTCATCCTCATGGGCATCCTCTGGCTCCTCAAGCCCAAGTCGGGTCTTCTGGGTCAGAAAGTGTTTTCCCTGGTTCCATGAACCTGTGAGGTCCACAAGGCAAGCTTTCCCCATTTTATAGACAAGGGACACTGTGAGTCTGAGGGTGAGCAGAAGTGCCCACAGTCGTGGACGAGACTGAAGAAGAGCCCAAACTCCACCCAGGCCTGCTGGGTCCTCAGAACCACCAGGGGAAGTGCAGATTGTTCAGAGAGGCACGTGTGTTTGATGGTGACAAACTCACTGGGAGTCTTCTGCTTTGCTTGATTAGTTGCAACTTGCAAAACTGCGTCATGAAAAAAGGGTCCGGGCAGCTGGGAAGATCCAGGCCTGGTGGCGTGGAAACCTGGTGCGTAGGATCCTGCTGGTCGCTGCCCTCAGGGCCTGGATGATTCAGTGCTGGTGGAGGACGGTCATGCAGCGGCAGGTACAGAAGCGGCGCCTGACCATGTTGAGGATCTATGTAGTCCAGGAGCAGGCGGCGGTCAAGCTCCAGTCCTGGGTCCGCATGTGGCGGTGTCGTCACTGTTACTGCCAAATTTGCGATACTCTCTGCCTCTTCCAGGTCCCAGAGAACAGCCTTGCCTTCCCGACCGATGAATTTTTAGAGTTACAATATAGAGTTATTTCCAAGCAGCCAGAGTTCCACATTGAAATCCTATCAGTCTGAAAGGCCTGCAGCATGGAGAACGGGCTCCACTGCCCCAATAAATGTCTGACCAGGTTTTGTGAGTCTCAATGATCCAGTGACCACAGGCTCCCCAGGGAGTCAGGCCCTGCTCCTTCTCCTCTCTCTGGGGAAGGACTTCAGTGCAGGTACCTCCCCGCTGCCCCTAGTGCCTATGGCCGCTGTTTGGACTGGCAGTGGCCATATGCTACGGACTTTATATCCAAATCAGAAATTGCAGCCCAAGGCTGTCCTCATATATGCAGAGCCAGATGTCCCATTGCATAGCCCTGACATCATTCCTGTCTCCTGAACTTAGAATTGGGAGGGGTTGGGCTTCCCACTTCTGAAGTTGCTGGGCACCCTGTCACCTGAGAGCTGCATCTGAGGCCGTGCTCTGTCAGTCTGCCGTCGGGGCAGTTGGGGCCTGCACACACCGGGTTTCTGTTAAGCAAGCCCCCAGACAGAAGTCAGGCATGTGGCCCCCTCTCCTGGGAGCAGCGCAGCCCAGAGAAAGCACAGGAGGCTGGCCTTAGTGATGACAGGCACAAGGTTCTGCATGACTCATGCTAAATTGGATGCGCATGGGCAAAAGACAAAATTATAACAAGTTTAGCTTAAAGATATTAATTGGCTTTGATCTGTGATTTTAGAATTGGGCTGCTCCTCATTCTATGAAACAGAATGAGTGTTGTGATGGGCTGAGCAGAGAAGGTTGGTTTTATACGCAGAAAAAGGCCTTCTGTGTATAAAGGTTTTATACACAGAAGAAAGCAGAAACAGAATGAAAAACAGATTGGTCATTTCAAAGTTACTTTTCTTGTAAAACTTAAAGCAGAGGGGACTTCCTTATGATGCCAGGGAATTCGGGCCTCTTTGGGAGCGTCGCTCTCACCCCTTGCTCTCCTGATATGTCGGAAGGTCAGGTAAACGACTTAGTTTCGGCTTTGAGGTATGGAGCTTCAGCGCGCGATTCCACTTTGGGGAGGTCTCCGGGGCCTGGCGCAGGAACTCTGTGCAAACCGCTGGCCACCAGAGGCTTTATGTAATAGCAGGTGCTGCTGCCCCTTTGAGAAATGGCATGTCAGCTCTGCCTCCCTCTTCCCTCGTCAGCACCTGCTTCCCCAGGGTGCTGACCACAACAGGGCTCCCACTGCTGTCACCTCCTCCCTAATGACGACTTCCACATTGGCTGGACGATGCTCCCAAACCCCTAGGCTGTCACCCTCAGTGATTTTGACTTCCGTCCATCTCGGCCACCCACTCCGATCGCACCTCAGATCGCTGCTTCCCCAGCCGTCTGTGGGGAAGGACCACTCCCTAAAAATGTCTGCTCCATCACACACCAGTTCTTATGTAAAACAATAAAAATGAATTATGAGAAAAATATACGGAAAAGTCATACAGAATATAAACCTTATTTTTAATTACTAGAACACACATAACATTACTATTATTTGCTATAAACATTTCTACATGCTTATTCTCAGTCTCCGTATTTATCTCACTGGTAACAAACAGCTCATGCACTGGCTCTGGTCCACAGACCACGCTTTGAGTAGCGTTGCCCTAGTCGTTGTCATCACTCATCACTGACCACAAGTAACAATGTTCCTTTTAACTACCCTGGTCTCTGATTTTTTGTGTGTGGCCTTCTATCCTCTAGGGCAAAGTTTGGAAAGTTGTAGTCGGCCGGGCGAGGTGGCTCACGCCTGTAACCCTAGCACTCTGGGAGGCTGAGGCAGGTGGCTTGTTTGAGCTCAGGAGTTTGAGACCAGCCTGAGCAAGAGCGAGACCCCATCTCTACTAAAAGAAAATAGAAAGAAATTATCTGGAAAACTAAAAATATAGAGAGAAAAAACATTAGCTGGGCATGGTGGCGCGTGCCTATAATCCCAGCTGCTCAGGAGACTGAGACAGGAGGATTGCTTGAGCCCAGAAGTTTGAGGTTGCTGTGAGCTAGGCTGATGCCACAGCACTCTAGCCTGGGTGACAGAGTGAGACTCTGTCAAAAGAAAGAAAAAGAGAAGAAAGAAAGATAGAAAGAAAGAAAGAAAGAAAGAAAGAAAGAAAGAAAGAAAGAAAGAAAGAAAGAAAGAAAGAAAGAAAGCAAGCAAGCTGTGGTCTGCAGCCAAGTGGTCATACAATGGGGACTGTACGGACATCAAGCCCAATATACCTACTTAAACAGAAAGTTTGTCGACTCCTGCTGTAGAGCTACTGATTCTTCCACACTGATCCAAATGTTTCTTTAGTTCTGTCTGATTAGGACTTCTCAGAGATTGACCTTACCCATATTTTACTGCCAATCACACCATCATACTTTCATCCCTTGTTCCCAGCTTAGATTCTTTTGTCCAATGAGCAGTCTCTTACAATTTTACCACCAAAGACCCTCTGTCTCTCCACCTTTGGATGAACCCAACCCTCCACCTACTTCATCCTTGCACCTAAACTCTAAACTTTTCTAAAAAAAATTTATCATGTTGTATAGTTTTGATTTATATTCAAGACCATAAATCTCTAATGGACAAATTTCTCTAGATGATTCTCTTCAACTCACAATGGATTGCAGACTTAAATGTAAAACAAAACTATAGAACTTTTAGAGAAAACATAGGAGAAAATTTGAGGGATCTAGAGCTAGGTAAATAATCTTAGGCTTGGCATCAAAAGCATGATTCATAGAAGGAAAAGTTGATAAATTGGACCTCATTAAAACTATAAAAATTTTTTCCCTGTGAAAGACTTTGTTAAGGAGATGACAAGCTGCAGAATGGGAGGTGATACTTGTGAACCACATGTTTGAGAAAGGACCAGTACCCAGAATATACAAAGAACCATCAAAACTCAACCATAAAAACCAAGCAGTCTAATTTTTTAAATTAGCAAAAGACACCAAAAAACATTGATTGAAGAGAATGTACAGATGGCAGATAGGCACATGGAAAGATGTCCAACATCATTAGCAATTAGGGAAATGCAAATTAAAACCACAATGAAATATCACTACAGACCTAATCAGAATGGCTAAATTGAAAAATATAGTGACAACACCAATTTCTGGTGAGGATGTAGACAAACTGGCTGTCTCATCTATTGCTGATAGGAATGCAAAAAAGACTAAGTAGTATTTCATTGCATGGATGAATGTACCACACTTTGTTTATCATTCATTTGCTCAAGGTCACTTGGGTTTTTTCCAATTTTTGGCTATCATACACACAAAAAGCTGCTATGAAAATTTATGTACATGTATTTATGTGAAAATAGAGGTTCATACACAATACTTTATTTATCCAGGACAAATACACAGGCATGTATTACATAAACATAGGCCATATGGTAAATGTATGGCTAACTTCATAAGAAACTGCCAAACTGTTCTCCAAAGTGGCTGTGTCATTTTGCACTTCCACAAGCAGTGTGTAAGGATCAGTTTCTCTGCACCCTTTCCATCTCTCGGTGTAATCAGTACTTTTGGTCATTCTAACATGTACATAGTGGTATCTCATCATGGCTTTAATTTGCATTTTCCTGAAAGCTAATGAAGTCTAACAACTTTTCATGTGCTTACTTGTCATTCTTATACCGTCCTTGGTAAAATGTATGTTCAGTACCTTGCCCATTTTTAATTAGATTATTTGTTTTCATACTGCTGAATTTTGAGAATTCTTTATATAACTCCTTTGTCAGGTGTGTGGTTTGCAAACATCTTCTCCCAGTCTATAATTTATATCTTCATTCTCTTGACAGTGTCTTTAGCAGGGCAAAATATTTTATTTTGATGAAATCCAATTTATCAATTTTTCTTTTATGAATTGTGCTTATGGTGTCATTTCTAAGAACTCTTCATGTAACTCCAAGTCACAAAGATTTTTTCCTATTTTATACTAAAAGTTTTACCTTTACATTAGATTATATATATATATATTTTTTTTTTTGCATGTTGATAACCATCATTCCAACACAATGTTTGTTGAAGGGCTATCTTTTCATCATTTAATGGTTTTGCACCTTTATCAAACATCAAACAGCTCTATTTGTGTGGGTCTGTATCTGTACTATCTATTATGTTCCATTGATTTACTTGTCTGTATCTTTGCCAATCCCTCACTGCCTTGATATCACCCACGCAGGTTAGACTCTAGTAAGAAAGAGTCTCTCCAGGCGCAGTCCTCATTCAGGACATTACACCCTGGTGTGCTTCAAAACATCCCGCAGACCCCAGCACCCGCCAGAAGCACAGGGGAGTCTTTCTCTGAAATCTTCACTGTGAAGACGTGGTAGAGCTCCTGAGAGTAAAACTCACAAAAGTGTGAGGTTCCCGTGACTGGGTGCCCCTGGAGTTTTCACCCATCACGCTTGTCCACCCTGGGCCTCCAGCAATTTGTCAGTCACAGCGCAGGCGTTCCCACCCCGGCCGCCGCTTCCCACGGAGACTTCTGCTCACAGGTTTCTGCTGCAGTAAGCTGTGACTCTCTGTGTCTGCATGTCTGTCCCCTTCCCATCTTGCCACGTCATCGATGCTTTTAAAATACAATGTTTCAAAGAAGCCAAGATGTTTAAAAGAAAAAAATAAATAAATATAGTCTTAAAACTGGGTAATGTGATTCTGTCAACTTTGTTCTTCTTTTTCAAACTTGCTTTAGTTCCTTTGCTCATCCATATAAACTTTAGAATTGGCCTGTCTATATCTACCAAAAAAATCCTTGTGAGATTTTGATTGATATTGAATTAAATCCATCACTTTAGAGAATTGACATGTTTATTAATACTATATTGAGCTTCCCAATCTGCAAATAGGGTGTATTTTGCCATTTATTTCAGTCTTCTTTGATCTCTTTCCATGAGATCAACATCATTTGGTAGTTTTCTTCCTGCAGATCCCATACATGTTTTGTTAGATTTACACTTAAGTATTTAATTTATTTGTAGATACTGGAAATAATATTTTTCTCATTGTTCATTCCTGTATATAGGAATGTCACTAATTTTTGTGTGCTGGCCTTGGGTCCTGCTAAACTCTTAGTTCTAGGAGTTTTTAGATTCTTACAATTTTCAGTTCTAGGAATTTGTTATTGTTGTTTGTTTGTTTGTTTGTTTGTTTTTAGATTCCCTGAGATTTTCTACAAGGCTAAACATGTCTACTGCAAATAGGGAAAGTTTTATTTCTTCTGCAAAAGTCGAAGTAAAAATGGAGTCACTAATGTTAAAAAAACAAAAACAAAAAAAAACACTGAAAAATAGAGCTAGAGAAATCTATGAAGAGAGGGTTCTCGTGCTTGCATGCCTGAAAACAAAAACTATCACTCGGACTCTGCAAAAACTACAACCTTGCACAAAGGCCATCACAACATTAAAAAAAAAATAACTTCTGCAAGGACATCTGCCCAGCAACTGTCTGTCAGACGATTGGCATCACTCTTGTTATTTACCTTTGTAGCCAAAATAATTATTTTGAAACAATTGTATAATCGTCTTCATTGTTCCTTTAAAAATCCTTTTTTTTAGTCTTTTTTTTGTTATCAGGCATGTTTCTCTGAATACACACACAGTTTACTATGGCGTGCTTATAGCATGCTTATAACAGGCTACTATGGCAATTCTGTGTTCCCAAACAAACATCATTTTATTTTAGAGAGACTCCCTCTTTTTGTTATTTAGCTATATGTGGCATCAGAGACGGGACTTGAAAAACATAACCATCAGAAGGAATCTGAAATCCTTACAGCTGGCCTGCCGTCCTCCATACTCACTTCCGCCCTTCGAGCTCTCTGCCTCCAGGGCTCATCTCTTCTGCCCTGGTGAGTCTTCTCCTGGGCTGAGGCTCTCTCCTTTTGGCAGACACCTTTTGATTTTATTTGGGATCTGATTTGGATTAAGCCACCTTAATAAAAGACCAAGCGCTCCTCCTTGGATAATAAAAGACTTTTTGTCTTTTCTGTTAAGTCCTTTGTGGTATAAAGACATATATCTTTCTGGAATGAGTAGTCCCAGCTTCTGCAGCTTTCATATTCTGTCTGTGAAGCACGACTTTCCCGGTGCATTCACCTGTGGACTGTGCCCAGTTCCATATTTTGTTTGTGCTGCACGCCTGGGTTAAAAACTATTGTGAACATTCTTACTGTGGTTTCTGTTGATTTGCCTTGACTCTTTTCCCTTGCTTGTTTCTAAAATCTTCCAAAGACAAAAATAAACATTCTGGATGGTGGGTGCAGGGTGGCTAATTAAAGGCCACTATGGCTGTCACCACTGTCTAAAACACAAATCAAAACTCCTGACATTCCCTGACAGGGTTTATAGACTTTTCTTTGTTCTCAAGAGATGAATGAAAAACAGACTGGGACCTGCAGGAGGCAGCGGCTAGGCCGAGGCCGAGGGAAGACGGCGGACGGAGTGGACTGCATAGACATTTACGTGGATGTGGGTGAAGAGTCAACCAGGAAGCTGAATACGGTGGCATGATCAGACAGATTTGTATGATAATGTCATATCTCCATCTGCAAATAATGGAGATGCCCCAGAAGACTGGGACTACATGGATCCTCTCCCACCAACTGTTGGTGATGATGTGGGTAAAGGAGCGGCACCAAATGTTGTCTATACATATACTGGAAAGAGAATTGCATTATATATTGGAAATCTAACATGGTGGACAAGAGATGAAGATTTAACTGAAGCAGTTCATTCTTTGGGAGTAAATGGTATTTTGGAGATAAAATTTTTTGAAAATCAAGCAAATGGCCAGTCAAAAGGGTTTGCCCTTGTTGGTGTTGGATCTGAAGCATCTTCAAAAAACTTAATGGATCTTTTGCCTAAAAGAGAACTTCATGGTCAGAATCCTGTCATGACTCCATGCAATAAACAGTTCCTGAGTCAATTTGAAATGCAATCCAGGAAAACTACACAATCAGGACAAATGTCCATGGAAGGTAAAGCTGGTCCTCCAGGAGGCAGTTCACACACAGCATTTCCACAAGGTGGTAGAGGACAGGGCTGTTTTCCAGGGGCTGTTACTGGTGGGGACAGATTTTTGGGGCCAGCAGGACCAGGAGGGCCACCCCCACCTTTTTCAGCTGGACAGACTCCACCACGTCCACCCTTAGGTCCTCCAGGCCCACCTGGTCCACTAGGTCCTCCCCCTCCTGGTCAGGTTCTGCCTCCTCCTCTAGCTGGGCCTCCTAATCGAGGAGATTGCCCTCCACCACCAGTTCTTTTTCCTGGACAACCTTTTGGGCAGCCTCCATTGGGTCCGCTTCCTCCTGGCCCTCCGCCTCCAGTTCCAGGCTACGGCCCCCCTCCTGGTCTACCACCTCCACAACAGGGACCTCCACCTCCAGGCCCTTTTCCACCTCATCCACCTGGTCCACTTGGGCCACCCCTTACACTTGCTCCTCCTCCGCATCTTCCTGGACCACCTCCAGGTGCCTCACCACCAGCTCCACGTGTGAACCCGGCTTTCTTTCCTCCACCAACTAACACCAGCACACCAACATCAGATAGCCAAGGTCCACCACCAACAGATCCATATGGCCGACCTCCACCATATGATAGGGGTGACTGTAGCCCCCCTGGAAGGGAAACGGATACTGCAAGAGCACCATTGAATGAAGCTGAGTTTGAGGAACTCATGAATAGAAATAGGGCAATCTCAAGCAGTGCAATTTCAAGAGCTGTGTCTGATGCCAGTGCTGGTGATTATGGGAGTGCTAGTGAAACATTGGTAACTGCAATTTCTTTAATTAAACAATCCAAAGTATCTGCTGATGATCGTTGCAAAGTTCTTATTAGCTCTTTGCAAGATTGCCTTCATGGAATTGAGTCCAAGTCATATGGTTCTGGATCAAGACGTGATCTATCAAGAGAGAGGGACCATAGTAGATCACGAGAAAAAAGTCGACATCATAAATCCCGTAGTAGAGATCGTCATGACGATTATTATATAGAGAGAAGTAGAGAACGAGAGCGGCACCGGGATCGTGACCGAGACTGTGACCGAGAGCGAGAGTATTGTCGTCGTTAGTTGCTTAACTGTTTCATTTGAAGGAAACCTGTGTGATTTAAAGTTATAGCTTTTGAAACTTTATTAATGGTTATATACATTTGGCCATTATAATGTGCAAGAATTGGGGAAAAAAAAGTCAAGTAAATGCTTGTTTTTATAGTAGTTTGTTCTTGTTAAAAATGTTCATATGATAATGTCTGTAAACAGCACCACTTTGATTACAATAGATGTAGTGTTGTAATAAACTGTTTAATGGGGAAAAAAAAACAGAATGGGATTCTCAACCATTTGGGGGGCTCCAGCTGGCTACATATTAGGGCCCGTTCTTGTGCACATTTTTAAACTGATGGGCAAGATTAGATCAAGGACAGTTCAGAGTTCAAATGGTCATTATTCAAACACTCTAAAACACCCTGCAACTATATAGCTAGCATTAGGGCCTTCTAAGTTCTCTATCTCTGTATTTTATTTCCTGCCGACTTTGAACCTGCTGATTTTTCTACTTGTGTTGAAATCAAAACTCACTGCTTATGGCACTCCAGCCAAGATTTCTTTTTAAGTCTTAAAGGGCTTTCAAATTAATGGCTATACAAATGACATCAGCTCCATGGTAACCAACAACCTAGATACCTTTAGGAAATATAAATTCAGGTTTACATGACTAAAACTTGCTTGCAGTGATGGAACACTTAAGAGAGAAGTTAATCGTCTAAAAGAAAAAGAACTCGATAAATGTGAGCTCAGTTTATAAATGTTAGGTTCTCAGATCTTACCTGGTGCACCTTACATGTTTTAAGTCTCAACTCTCCTCCAGTTTCTGCCTGCTTTTGGTCACTCTCTGGTACCTTCAAATAGTTTTGTTTTGTTTTTATTTGGGTTTTTTTTTTTTTAGAGATAGAGTCTTACTCTGTCACCCAGACTGGAGTACAGTGGTGCAATCATAATTCATTGCAGCCTTGAAATTCTGAGCTTGAATGATCCTCACACCACAGCTTCCTAAGCAGCTAGGACCACAGCAAGCACCACCATGCATCGCTAATTTTTCTCTATTTTTTGTATAGATGGGGTCTTTCTTTGTTGCCCACACTTGTCTTGAACTTCTGGCCTCAAGCAATACTCCTACCTCAGCCTCCCAAAGTGTTGGGATTACAGGCACGAGCAACTGTGCCAGACTTTTTCTTGCTATCTATGGCAGGGTTGATCCTATCAAGCTATTCTTTCGTTAATTGAAGCTACAATCATGATAGTCTTTTTTTTTTTTTTTTATGAGACAAAGTCTCACTTTGTCACCCAGCCTAGAGTGCCATGGTGTCTGCCTAGCTCACAGCAACCTCAAAATCCTGGACTCCAGCGATCCTCCTGCCTCAGCCTCCCAAGTAGCTGGGACTACAGGCATGCGCCACCATGCCTAGCTAATTTTTTCTATATATTTTTAGTGGGCCAATTAATTTCTTTCTATTTTTAGTAGAGACAGGGTCTCGCTCTTGCTCAGACTGGTCTCAAACTCCTGACCTTGAGCAATCCGCCTGCCTCAGCCTCCCAGAGTGCTAGGGTTACAGGCATGAGCCACCGCGCCTGGCCATGTTATTCGTTTTTAAAGCTTTTTTTTTTTCAGCATGTTATGGGGGTACAAATGTTAAGGTTATGTATATTGCCCATACCCTCTTTCCCCCTCAAGTCAGAGCTTCAAGCGTGACCATCCCCCAAACGTTCCACATCTCACTCATTATGTTTGTATATACCAATCCCCTCCTCCCCCTCCCACCTGCCAACCACCCAATAAATGTTATTTCTTTATGTCCACTTAAGTGTTGATCAGTTAATACCAATTTGCTGGTGAGTATATGTGGTGCTTGTTTTTTCATTCTTGAGATACTTCACTTAGTAGAATGGGTTCCAGCTCTATCCAGGATAATACAAGAGGTGCTAGATCCCCATTGTTTCTTAAAGCTGAAAAGTACTCCATGGTATACATATACCACTTTTATTAATCCACTTATGTATTGATAGGCACTTGGATTGTTTCCACAACTTTCCAATTATGAATTGTGCTGCTATAAACATTTGAGTGCAGGTGTCTTTTTTGTAGAGTGTCATTTAATCTTTCGGGTAGATGCCCAGTAGTGGGATTGCTGGATCAAATGGTAGATCTACTTGTATCGCTTTAAGGTATCTCCATATTGCTTTCTACAGAGGTTGAACTCGTTTGCAGTTTCACCAGCAGTGTAGGAGTGTCCCTATCTTGCCACATCCACGCCAACATTTATTGTTTGGGGACTTTTTGATAAAAGCCATTGTTACTGGAGATAAGTGATATCTCATTGCAGTTTTGATTTGCATTTCCCTGATGATTAGAGATGCTGAATATTTTTTCATATGTTTGTTGGCCATTATTCTGTCTTCTTTTGAGAAGTTTCTGTTCAAGTCCTTTGCCCACTTTTTAATAGGGTTGTTTGATTTTTTCTTGCTGATATTCCTGAGTTATAAATAGATTCTAGATATGAGCCCTTTATCAATGTGTAGCTTGTGAAAATTTACCCCCATTCTGTGGGTTGTCTGTTTGCTCTCTTGATAGTTTCTTTGGCTGTGCAGAAGCTTTTTAATTTGATCAGGTCCCATTTATTTATTTTTGTTGCTGCTGTGATTGCCTTTGGGGTCTTCTTCATAAATTCTTTGCCTAGGCCAATGTCTAGAAGAGTATTTCCAACATTTTCCTCTAGAATTCTAATAGTTTCAAACCTAATGTTCAAGTCTGTTACACAGCATGAGTTGATTTTTGTGAGAGGTGAAAAGTGTGGGTTCTGTTTCAGTCTTCTACATGTGGCTATCCAGTTTTTATAGTGAATTACATTTATAGATTTGCGTATGTTGAACCATTCCTGCATCCCTTGGATGAAGCCTACTTGGTTGTGATGAATTATTTTCTTGACAAGCACCTGGATTCAGTTGACTAGGACTTTGTTGAGAATTTTTGCATCTATATTCATAAGTGATATTGGTCTGTAGTTTTCCTTTTTTTTTTTTTTTGCATCCTTGTTGTGGTATCAGAGTTATGTTCGCTTCATAAAATGTTCTGGGGAGGCTTTCATCCTTCCTGATGTTGTGGAATAATTTCTGGAGTATAGGCACCAGTTCTTCTTTGTAAGTGTGGTAAAATTTGGGTGTGAAACCATCTGGTCTGGGACTTTTCTCTTTAGGAAGGTTTTTTATTGTGGTTTCAGTTTTAGTACTTGATATCAGTCTGTTCAGGAATTCTATTTCTTGCTGGTTGACCCTAGGGAGGCTGTGTGTTTCTAAGAAATTGGCTATGGGACCCAAAACAACAGTGTAGCCTGCTCCTCCAAGCAAGCACCACCTACTGACAGGGAGGTCATTCTGCACACCCTTTTATGGCATCTACTGACTCATCATACAGAGTGTGGTCGAATCTCACCCAGAAACACTACCTACCAGCTCAGAGACTAAACAGGGCATGCCATTATCCAAACAAAAACCTAAAAGTAAGAAGCAACAACTGATCCAGATGGGAAGAAATCAGCAAAGGAACTCTGGATATATGAAGACTCAAACAGAAAGCACACCCCCAAAGTGGAACACCAGCCCCTTAGAAATGGACATCAACTAAAGTCAGACCACTAAAATGACAGAAGAATTTTGAACATGCATTGTAAGAAAATTCGATGACTTACAAGAAAAACTGGATAACCAACACAAAGAAGCCACAAAAAGATTCCAGGACCTGGAAGAAAAATTCACTAAAGAAATTGAAATAATTAAGAAAAATAAAACCTAACTCCTGGAAATGAAGAATCAATTCAGTGAACAACAAAACATAATGGAAAGCCTCAAGAACAGGGTAGATCAAACAGAAGAAAGAATCTCAGAGATTGAAGATAACACCTTCCAATTAAATAAGACAGTCAGAGATAGAGCAGAGAAATAAGAGAAAAGAGCAAAGCCTACAAGAGATGTGGGATTATGTGAAGAAACCTATGTGAGGGTTATAAGGTTACCAGAAGGGGAAAAAGAAAACACTCAAGGGTTGGACAAGCTATTTGAAGATATAATAGAGGAAAATTTCCCAAGCCTTGCTAAAAATCTCAATACACAAGTTCCAGAAGCTCAGAGGACCCCTGGGAGATTCAATGCAAACAGGAAGACATCACGATATGCAGTCATCAGACTGATCAAAATATCAACTAAAGAGGCCCTTCTAAGAGCTGTAAGATGAAGGAAGCAAGTAACATACAAAGGAAAGCCAATCGGAATAACACCAGACTTCTCTACTGAAACTTGACAAGCAAGGAGAGACTGGGGCCCCATTCTCACCCTTCTGAAACAGAATAATGCCCAGCCTAGAATCTTATTCCCTGCAAAACTAAGTTTTGTATACAAAGGGGAAATAAAGACAATCTCAGATAAGCAAAGACTGAGGGAATTCACCAAGACAAGACCAGCCCTTCAAGAAGTACTCAAAACAGTGTTACCCACGGATCAGCACAATAAACACTCACGAATGTAAATCTACTCAAAAGCTAAAGATCAAAGCCCAGACACTACAATGGCTCAAGAGAGAAAACAAAGCAACAAAGTTCAACCCAACAGAATGAACAGAAATCTGCCCCACCTATCAGTTATCTCAATAAATGTGAATGGCTTGAACTCCCCACTCAAGAGACATAGGCTGGCCGAATGGATAAAAAAATACAAGCCAAGTATCTGCTGCTTTCAGGAAACACATCTAACCTGCAAGGATGCAATTAGACTAAAGTTAAAGGGGTGGAGAACGATATTTCAAGCAAATGAAAGCCAAAAGAAAGCTGGTGTGGCGGTGCTGATTACAGATAACTTAGTTTTTAAATCAACAAAAGGAATAAAAGACAAAGAAGGTCACTATATAATGGTGAAGGGTACAGTTTAACAAGAAGACAGAACAATTCTAAATGTATATGCACCCAACCTTGGTACGTCCAGATTCATAAATCAAACTCTACTTGATCTAAACAAATGGATAAACAACAACACCATAATAGTTGGAGACTTTAACACCACACTGACAGCACAGGACAGATCCTCCAAACAGAAAATCCACAAAGAAATAATAGACTTAAACAGAACCCTAGAACAAATGGGCCTGACTGACATTTACAGGACATTCTACCCAAAAACCACTGAATATACGTTCTTCTCATCAGCTCATGGGTCATTCTCTAAGACTGACCATATCCTAGGACACAAAGCAAGTCTCAAACAATTTAAAAACATAG